GTGTGTGTGTGTGTGTGTGTGTGTGTGTGTGTGTGTGTGTGTGTGTGTGTGTGTGTGTATTCATATCTTTGTAGGGACCAAAAATTGGAAATCCTCACGAGTCTGAAGGTATTTTTCAGACTCAGGATGTGGTTTTAGTGTCAGGGTTACAACTGGGTTATGGTTGGGTTTAGGCTCAGGGTTAGGCATTCACTTTTGATGGTTAGGGTAAAGGGCGAGGGGAAGCATTATTTCAATTAGATGTCCCCACAAGAAATGAATACCCGACGTGTGTGTGAGTGAGACAGATGGAGAGGGACTGTCTGCGGCCCAATTATCCTCCACGTCCTCACAGCTGATGAAAGAAGGCCGCCGTTCTCCTTCACGTTGTGTTTGTGTGAAGGAATCAAGCTGCCACTGAAGAATCGGACCTTCTCAGTCTTTTACGCCATTGTGGAGGAATTTTGGCCGCTCTTCTTTCCAGCATTGCTTCAGTTCATTGAGATTTGAACGGTGGATCTAAGCACAGCTCTCTGAAGGTGTCAGCAGGCTGACCAGTCTGGACTTTTTCTTTTTCAGCCATTCTGTTGGAGATTTACTGCCTGGCTCAACTCAGCGACTGCAAAGTGCTTACATCGTCATCCCTCGTCCACCGGTCGGTATGAGGTGTTTGTGCTGAGTTTGGATCTCTGCAGCTGAGGACAAACCTCTCCACATTGGTATCATCCATTTGAAGGACGCTGTTACAGATGTGGTTTATTGAGCCTTTGTAAACCTCAGTTAAGGAAATGGCCTCGTAGCCCTCCCTCAGCAGACGCTTCTCTAAGATCACTGCTGATTGCAGACCTGCAAACTGCCCAAACCTCTGCTTTTATAGGGAAGCTTGAGCTTTCAGATGATCGGTTAATCAGTGCATTTGATAGTCGACACCTGGCTGCTCCTTTCCCTCTTCCACATATTGTTTGTGCATTTGAAGCGCCTTGAGGTGACTTTTGTTGTGATTTGGCGCTATATAAATAAAATTGAATTGAACATTTCGTCTTCGTTTCAGGTACATGAATAATGACTATGAATATAAGTGACGTAGAGAAGATGCAATAGAGCAACATGGCGTGGACGTCTGACAACGACGGTCTCTGATCTTAATTAGAGCTCTTATGATGCCATGTGACCAATAAAAGCCGTCCGAAGCCTGTCATGTTTCATGTTCTAAATATGCGTCGATTCAAACTGTGAAACACTGGCTTCACTCTAGAACAGCAGCTGGACGGGACTAAAGCAGGACTTTGCTCCAGGTTGGGGGTTAACTCTAACACACACAGAGTTACGTCAATGAAAGGTCGCGCTCCGACAACTTCCCCGGCACCGCACTTCTCCGTCTTTGTATGAAAATTCCTCTCGTCAAATCTGCCGTGCGATGTTATTGGCAGGCGGCATCTGTGGCTGCCCTCTCCGTTGGGAGATTAGAAATAGGAATGACATCTACTGCTGTGCAGCGTCCAGCAGAGGAAACTTTGCCGTCACAGAAGCTCACGAACACCAGCGTGACTCCCTCCTGCGAGACCCTCGGCTCATGTTCTCGGCAAATTGGGCAGCAGCATGAAGTGCTGAGCAGAGTCGGTGAAGTGCTAAGAAATGCTGCACACACTCACAAATACAGTTTAGGTAAATGTATTATGTACTGTACTGCAAGCTGACAGTAAGATTCTACTTATCCCAATCATATCAGAGCCTGACTCCGCCCACTGCATGGTCTTGAAAAAGACCAAAACATTTATTTGGGTCATTTCGAGCTGGATGGCTCCTCCTCTCCAACATCTTCCCCCTCTGATGTCTTGGAGCACTGCAGTAGTTGGCAGATGCATCAGTTTGAGGAGTCCGCTTGTCCTGTTATTGATGGACCAGCATGCAGTCTGTAACAGTGGGGCCAATACATAAGGTATACCGGGTTGAACCTTCTTTTTCCTTCACAGCCGTTTTAATTCTTCATGTCTCAGATTCCTCGACATGACAGTGTCACACAGCTGCTGCACGTCTATGACCTCCCACTCCACTACATCATAAAAAATTAAAAAAAGACTACGGTATTTGATTAAGATTAAGTGACTGTGGATGTTTGAGTGAACGTCACGGTCAAGAAACCAGTTTGATGATCTGAGTTTGTAACGTGGTGATTTATTCTGCAGCCACTCAGGCTGTGGAGTTTGAACGATGCTCGGCTGGTACTGAGGAGAGAAAAGTCCACCAAGGAAATAACCCCCACACCATCACACCAGCAGCCTGAACTGGTGACACAGGCACGATGGATCCATGCTTTCATGATGTTTAGCCACATTCTGACCAGGTTTGTCTTTCCGGTCTTCTGCTGCCCAGTTTTGGTGAGTCTGTGTGAGCCGTCGTCTCATTTTCCTGTTCGTAGCTGACAGGAGTGACACTCATTGTGGTCTTCTGCTGCTGTAGCCCAGCTCGAAGCGCTCTGTCCATTCTCCTCTGACCTCTGGTATCAACAAGTCATTTTCTCGCGGAGAACTCCTGCTCATAGGACATTTTCGAATTGGACCGTTTTCTGTAAACTCAGATGGTTGGTGGAAGAATCCCAGCAGATTAGCAGTTTCTGCACCGTGCCATGTTCAAAGTCACTAAAATCACATTTCTTTCCCATTCTGGTGCTCAGTCTGAACTTCAGCAGGTCTTCCTGGGCGTGGTTATATGCTCTACATCTTTAACCATAACTATTGTTGCAGTTCATTACTGCCTTTTGTAAACTGTATTTATTCTTTTTAACTGTATTGCTTATTGCACTGTAGAGGCTGGTGAGAAACAGTATTTCGTTTCAGGCTGGGCAACTCCATACAAAATGACAAACTTGTTGAGTCTACATGTGACTGGCTGATTAAATATTTACTGAAACAATAAAATATCCTTGAAATTCAAAAAGTAAGCCTTAAGTTTATTATTTAACTCTGTGCTTAAAGATGGTACTCTGAGCAGCTCTTTGTGGTTTCATTGGGATATTGTCTGAGTTAATGAGTGAAATGTACTTTATATTAATGTTAAATGTATTCTGAATTTGTTATAACAGATTAAGGTCATTTTTAGAGTGAGAAGTGTGCACATGTACGTGAACCAATACAAGAGTTGGGATCCCTTCAGTGTGTTTTAGTGTCTGCAGACCTCCTGATTTGGGGTTTTGCATATATAAACTAAACATCAGGCTTAAAATGAATGATTTAAAAATAACGAAGTTAATCCAACTGTTGCGTTTCTTATCCAGCCAACAAACAATAAGACGTCTGATCCACTTCAGGCCAGCAGCCGACGCTCGGATGCAGGCCAGCCAACAATAGGCAGAGGAAGGGTTAATGCTGAGGTAATTATCTCATTGTGGTGTTAGTTTAATATTCCTGAAGGAATATCAGACAGTGGAGAATAAAACAGCTGGTAGAACAGGATCAGTATGCCTGACTCTGTGAAATAAAAAGACAACCATTGTTTTTCCAACTCAGCAGTCAAGCATCCATGCAGAGCAGCTTTGCTCATTTTTAGATGCGGAATAAGAAAAAAAAGCTAAAATAATAACTGATGTAGACGATGCACAGATATAATTACATTTTTAAGTTTTATGTAAAAAGCACCACGCACCGCCAAGGTGCTCGTTACTGTAAGGTAAATATCCTTAATGATACAAAGAGAACCCCAACAGTCAGATGATCCCTGTGGAGCAAGCACTTGGCGACAGTGGGAAGAAAAAAAACCCTTTTAACAGGAAGAAACCTCACAATCCAACTGACAAACGAAAGAGCATCCATACAGACTGATCGGTGCTAAATATTTCCCAAACCAAAAACCAAAACCGGAAAATTAGCCAAAATGCATTTTTTGAAGTTTTGTCCAGTTACAGAAAAGAAAACAGACTTCAGGTTGTGACTCTGTGATGTCTGTTTGAAGCCTGATGGTGTTGGTTTGGATCAAACTCGTCCACGGCTGCTAAAAGCACAGCCACAGGCATCATTAAACAACTGTTTTAATTTCACAGGGACTTAATAACTTTCTCTTGTTGCCATATACAGCACTTTAACTCTCTCTCAGCATCTGTTGCATTCAGCCTGTCTTGGCATTATGGAGATGAGCTGGTAAAGTGTGTCTTTGCTCTGGGAAGTAGGTTAAACCAGCTCCTTCCAGCCTCCACCCAGCTCTCTAATGCACAGAGATGGCAGTTGGAGGGAGACAGAAGGAGGAGGAGGACGAAGAAAGTGGGGTGAGGGAGGGTGAAAGGGAGGTGACATAAGAGGAAGAGGGGAGAAAGGAAGCAGAAGGTTAATGAGGCCTGAGAGGGGGAGCGAGGGGAGGAGAAATCAATTTGTGCAGCAGAAGGCGAACATGGAGAGAGGACGGGGGGGGGGGGGACGCAGCACTGCCAAGCTGCTGTAGCAGAGTTTAGAAACTTAAACTTCCTGCTCACAGTTTCATCTTCTGGAAGTAGCTGGAAAGTAAAAGTTTGGGCACCAAACCTGATCAGGCAGTAGTAGTGGATTATCGATTAGTTTGGTCCGGTGGTGCAACAGAGGAGAAACTGCAAATGGCACAAAATGGAGCAGCACGAATGCTTCTTTGTTGTGCGCATAGAACAGATGTTGTTAACTGTAAACTTCATGCTTCACTTGGATTTATCTGAAATATATCCGCTCAGATTCTTTCTGTATTTTGTTTAGAAAATGCGTTTCAGTATATTTATAATTGAGCCATTTGTTAACTTTGTAATATACTGTATTATTTAATTGGTTCAGTCTGTTACTGTCTTAGAGCAGGGGTCTCAAACTCGTGGCCCACGTCACGCCTAGAAAAGAATCATCTTTATTATCCCACGGATAAGAAATCTCGGTTACAGAGCTCTTACAGCACGGGAAAATAAAATATAAAAGGAAGACACAAGGTGGTCCTATAAACATAAGCAACCAAAGTTTGTATATACAGGTAACAATGTACAGAATATGTATAGAAAAATTGAGAAAATTGTACAGAGATTTGTATGAAATGTACCGTAAACAAACAAGCTGGTGAGTAAGACGACCAAAGCATGTTAAGCTGCGTCACAGAGTCTGACAGCTGCTGTAATGACCTCCTTCCTACTGCTGAACGAGCTGCTCGGTGTTCAGTCTCATGCAGGGGTGGGAGGTGATGTCCGTGATGGATGTTAGCTTAGACAACATCCTCCCCAGCCTGCTCGATGGACCTCAGCGGACAGTCCAGGACAGAGCTGGCCCTCCTGACCAGTTTGAGTTCCCCCCGTCCCTCTCTGCCACTCCACCATGACAGTAGACCACAGCATAGAAAATCGCAGATGTAAATGTTATCAGCGTTTACCCGACACTGATAACATGATAACACACGCCAACGACAGGAGGCATCGTTGTGCATGTTTGACTGCTGCAGGTAACAAGGATCAGAAACTAAACGAGCACAGCACCCTGACCTCACCTGGAGCAGAGCAGCTCTATAGAAGAACCAGTCAACTACCCATAAACTACACAGTACGGACACCTCAGCGTTTTAATTAATGAAGGAAGACAAAATGAACAAAGACTATGTTAGTTGGACGTGTTTCACTGTTAACAGTCGACTTAAGAAGCGAACGAGATGCTTTGGGATGATTTTAGTTAAACTCGCCACGCCCCGCCCTTCACAGAGGGGGCGCTGTCTCGTTTTAAAATTTACATTGTGAGATTATAATATTATCTTATGCCACGTTATGCCCCCGATTAATGATTGTGAAATTATTATGTAGGTTTAGTTTGCATTATTCTCCTGAATTAGAGAAGGTGAAACTATTACTGATCGGTATTACATCAGACTGCTGATTTATTGTGAATGAATGATATTGTTTATGATGCATTATACTGCTGAGTTATAAGAAATGCTGTTTTCAGAGTCAGGACTTTGCTTTTTCTGATAGCGGAGGAGTCAGAGCACATTCCACGGGAGCTTCACTCCTGCTGTTGTTAAAGGCAGACAAAATAGGGAGCCAAGGCCACAAGTCAGGCTCGCTAGGAGTTAGTGAATGATTAGGCTTTTATGACTAGGTGGGGGTCTATAAGAGTTTGAGTAATGCTCCACCATTTGGAGATCGATGCAGTCGGTGGGCAGTGTTCATCTCCCCACGCGTGTGTTCATTAAAACCATTGTTTGACCGAAGCTCTTCTGGACCAGTGTTGTGTTTGTGCTCACCCTCAATATCTGAACCCATAACAACATCCATCCAGAAATCAGCACTAAAGATCGTTTAACACATGAATAAAGTTATCTAACACAAGCTGAACACTTCTTTAACTGAATCTAAAACTTTAACACTTTTTATTATTAAAATGTAAAAGAAATTTAGGATTTTTTGAGCCACAGATTCAAACTGATGTGAAACATGAGATTATTCAAGAGCAAAAGGTTTGTTGGTCAAAAACACCTTTAAATGTATGTTAGTGTCCTTTAAGTCAACATTTCTGTCATGTCAGGCTGAGATAACACCACACAGACGAGCACCTCAGCAGTAAACACACACACACACACACACACACACACACACACACACACACACAC